TCATGCATCTAGATGTCACTTATCTTCCTGTCCTCTTGCCTCTGCCCTTGCAACCTCCCCCGACAACAAAATTTAAAAGTAAGACTGAACAAATAAATAAAAAATAAAACAAATCTTGGCATGGAAGTTTCAGTGTGGCCCATCAAGCCACACAGTTTACCCTTTAGTCCATATATCTTTTAAGTGTTCATGGCAATGAGGCATTGGTCTGGTTCGAGGCTTCTGGCTTCTGCTACACCCTCCATACTGGGCCCTCCCTGGGTCTCCACTTGGATGTCCTATTGGTGCCTTGTGCATGGGGAGCCTGCAGCTTTGGATTTGTAGGTTTGGAGGACCATGGATTCTATGCCCAACACTGGACATGTTTTGGTTTGATTTTTTTTTTTTTTTTTTTTTTTTTTTTTTTTTTTTGCTACCCAGAATCATTCATCCCACTTCCAGTAACAGGGTCTTAGGGAATCTACCCTTCTACCCATTGAAAGGCTATGAGAGGCCTGCCTTCTTTAACTACAGAGATGGACAGGTGACCTCATGTTCTCATTGTCAAATCAGGACCTCATGTTCTCATTGTCAGGGGTTGCTTAAGGGATCTGTCGGAGAAGCAGTGAGCCTTCAGTGTGAGCCCTGCAGAATGAAAGCCATGCTTCTCCATGCTGGGCTTGCACCTGCTTCCCCATTTTCCTAATACAGAGGTCAGAGTGGCTAGAGATGCAGCTCAGTGCTAGAGGGATTTAATGCTAGCTCACTGGCTCAAGAATCAGCAGACCAGAGATGGGTACTTACTATGTCACAGTTCCAGGTCAAGGCAGGAGTCCTCCTACTGAAACTCTCAGCCAGGGGCTCTGTCAGTCAAGAACCTGCTGCACAAGCAACAAACCTGAGCCTGGCTGTCTAACACCTATGTGTAAGGTGTAGCAGCTCATTGCAGAGGTGTGAGGATCAAAGCCCAGATCCCAGAACCCATGAAATGCTGACTGGGTGTGGCAGCTTACCTATAATTCCAGCATTCAGAAGGTGGAGATGGGGAATCCTGAGAGCAAACTGGCTAGACAGACTAGCTACATAGAGACTCTGTGTTCAACTGAGAGTCGCTGCCTCAATGAGTAAGATGGCGGGAGGCTGCCAATCTTGGGGTCTTCACATGTATATGAACACATATACATACATGCATGCCATATAACACACAACTCGAGGAAAAACTGAAGAGTACATTTAAAGTAATAATGAGAGAAAACACGAAACCCCCTCATGTCCCTCATTTAATTCACACTGTTCAAAATCTAGGTGACACAGTGCACTGAAGTAATGGGGGGGGTTGAGAATGATGAGTGTGTCCAAAGGTGCTGAAACCAAGTGACAAGAGAGCAACTGGGCACAGGGTTGGAGCATTTTCGTCAATCTTTCCTGATGGGAGCCAGCCTCTGGAGTTCACTGTGCCCCGGAGTCTACCTGGTTTTGTTGTTGTTGTCGTTTATATTTATTTATTTGTGTGTGTGTGTGTGTGTGTGTGTGTGTGTGTGTGTGTGTATGCTCGCACACGTGTGCGTGTGTCACCGCTAGAGTGTGGCTATCATGTGGATAGTGTGAGAGCTGTTTTTCTCATTCCATAGCATAGGTTGGTGGAGGAGGATTGAACCAGTTCATGAAGCTTGGCAGGAGGTGGCTTTACCAGCTGAACCTTCTCAACTGCCTATCGGGTGACATTTTCTACCATTGCCTGCAGCAGTCCCAGACGACACCATTTTTTATTGTGGATGAGGATAGTGACTCTTCCCACATTCCCAAAGGGCATTACTGGAGGAGAGAAGGTGTAGGGAGAAGGGACAAGAGCCAGGATCCAGCCACTTGAATCACCCAAGGGGGCCTGCCCTCTAGAACTAGGCCAGAGCACCCTGTACATAGGGAAAGTCTACAGCCACAGAAACTGGCATTAACTGGCACTCAGGAGGTGTTTGTTGAATGGAAACCAGCAGGAAAATTACAACAGAGCATACTTTACATGCACATTTTCGGGAATATTTTCAGGAAAATACTTATGTGTGAACAGCTAATCTGCATTTTCATGTCCTGACAGATGGCCCATATTAACAGAGTTCTGAGTATAGTAAAAATAAATAAATAAATAAATAAATAAATAAATAAGAGAAGAAGAGAAGAAAAGGAAAGAAAAAGAAAACCTACAAGTACTCATTGAGTGGGTACCACGAGCGAGGCCACACAAGGAAGTGAGCTCTCAGCTTATCTCACTGAAAAAAAAAAAAAAAAAAAGCCTGGAGACATTTCCGTTTGTCAAAATGTCCCTAAATACTGTCCATAGGAAGAAAATGACCCTCAGGACTTCCATAGGTAGGGAAGAGCATTCCCCGCCCCTTTGGGAGATGGTTCTAGGTCCCAGATGTCCAATGCTGTATTCTCAAAATGACCTGCATCTGCACCTGTGGGACTGCTGATCAAAGGTGCAGTCCCCTGGCTGGGTGTTGGTGGCGCACGCCTTTAATCCCAGCACTCTGGAGACAGACAGGCGGATCTCTGTGAGTTCGAGGCCAGCCTGGTCTATAAAGCTACACAGAGAAACCCTGTCTCACTCCCGCCCTCTCCAAAAAAAGTGCAGTTCCCTCCCAGCCTACATTTGCAGAGCCAGAACTTCCACAGTCAGAGTCCCTGAATCTGCATTCAAATCATCTTTCCAGTGGGCTCAAAAGCTGTGCCTGGTACAGTTTGTTTGCTCATGGATCTCCCCAGTGCTTGGGGACATTGAGTACAGCCCTATGGGAATTGGCCTTTTGGGGAAAGAAGCCCTGGTCCTAGGCTCAGAGGCTGAAGGAGGCCAGGGGCTGGTGAATTGGCATCACCATCCTTGAGGTCAGGGCCAGTTCAGGCCATGGTAGAGGTGAGGGCATGTCACCGGATTTTGTGTGGGAGCATTGCTATGCCCACCGCTTCATACCCAGACCTGATGCAGGTTGTAACTGATGAACCTGGTAGGGTCCCCTGGGCTTTGCTACTGTCTAGATGACACAACAGTCTAAAACTAATTATAGCCATCTTATGTGGCCCTTGGGGGTTTCCTTTGGAAGGGATACTGCTTAATAGACTATTGGCTGGTAGGACCCCTCAGGGTGAAGATAATGACCCCAGCTCTTGGAGCATTTGCACCTTTCCCAAGCCTCTGTCATACGCACCACACCACAAGATACTTCGATGTCCACTTCTTCATTTAACTTGGCTTCAGACTGAGGACTTGCCTCCTCTCTGCCCCCTTCCTCAGGAAGGCATCTTCCCTAGCCCTCAGCCATGGGGCTTTGGCACACTTGATCTTGGAGCTAGAGTCAATTTGCTTAGGCATATTGGTGTCCCTAGGCCCTGACCACAATGATTGGCCATGGGTGGACAGTGACCTCAGTATTCTGATCAGAGCGACCTTCAGTCACAGATCCTATTTGGTGGTGAGGAGGGAGAAGCATGGGGTCCCAGGCTCTCTGGGCAGGCTTCCCATGGCTTCCCAAGGACAGTGTGGCTAAACATGGGGCCAATAAGAGGAAATAGCAAAAACTAAGGTCAGAAAACCTAAGGCCTGAGGGTGTCTTTGAGGGTTCCTAAATATTTTCCTGAAGTCTCATTCACTCCCGAACTGAGCAAGGTTTTGTACCTATAAATACAAATGTTTGTTTTTGCTAAATCAGATTGACTCAGAGTTTTGTTGCCTGGCACTAAAGATGACATGAGACACGCTGTAACGTACCTTATCATGTTTGGCCCTCTTCTCCCCTGATCCTCAAGTGGAACCAAATATTAAATAACTACTAGAAAGCACACTGAGACAGGTGGTCGGGCTATCTGGATTCATGGTTTGTTGCGACTCCATGCCCAAAGAATATTGATTAACGGATCAATGTCAGTAGGAGGAAGCCCTGTCCTGCTCACATTTTAATCAATGACTGGGATGAAATGGGAGGAGACATGGTTAGCAAGTCTCAGATGACACAAGCTGGAGGAAACACTAATACGACAGATGGCAGAATCAAGATTCAAAATTATTTTGACTGAGTGGAACAGTAATAAGGAGAAATACAAACTCTTGCATTCAGGCTCAGAAGATCAGCCTGTATAAGTAGGGTGGGGAGACCCGGCTCAGCAGTTGTCCTAACATCAAGGAACTTGAAGTTGGCCACACTGACTCACATGGAGTTAAACACTGGGGCAATTAGCAGTTTAGTTATTCAGCTTTCAAATGTTTATAAAGTGACTTGGAGAAGAAAGACTAATTTTGCCTCTACTTCCCCAGGAGGAGGCAGGACAAAGAAGTAGACTTTTCTAGGAAGTAGTTTCTAGATCCTAACACTTCCAACAGTGGAATAAGCTACGCTCCAAAATGGTTGGACTGATGACATCAGAATGTAATGGACAAGATTGCACTGTGGGAATTTTCTTATTTAAAGTGCAGACTTTTAAAGTGATCCAAGACAATGCACACAGCGGCATCCCGAGAAAACCACCAGGTGAAAAAGCAGCCCTTAGAAGGCTGCTGCTATCTATTACAGAGGGGCCTCATCCCCAAGGAATCCCCAGACTCCATCGGGGCTTGGGGCTCCCAGCCCATTCTACCTTCTTGTCCGGGTTCTGCCTCCTCCTCTTCTCTCTCCTTCCTGATTCATCTGGCATCCACACCTGCCTCTGGACGCGGCTACCTTGGCTGACTCCCTTTCCTGTCTTCCTCAGGGAGGCCGCCCCTCAGTCAGAGCAGGCCATAACCAGACTCCTTCTCAATGGCTGCCCTGTGGTCTCCCACTCCTTCCTGGGCCTCTGCAGGCTCCCAGAACCAGTCTCATGGACTCTTTACTTTCTGCTGAATGCCCCATTTTATGTGCTAGCCCAGAGAGACGGCGAAGGTGGGCGTGACCTTATTTTATCTTACAAACTGAGAGTGTGTTTTAATGAGTTACTAAGCAGAAGTTGCACCCAATCCAGCACTGTGGGTGCCTGAAACCGGCTGTACTCACGTGTTTCTCCACGAAGAGGTCCACCTCCTCCAGAAGCCTCTCCTGGCAGTCAGGGTGGGTGGCCAGCAGGTACGTGATGAAGGAGAGTGTGTTAGTGATGATCTCTTGGCCAGCGATGAGGAAGAGGAAGGCCTGGCCCACAATTTCATCCGTGGTTAAAGGCTCAGGCATGGATGCAGGCTGGCCTCTTTGGGGAGGGTTCACTGGACACTCGCTAGAGGACAGGGCTTCTTTGACCATGTCAAAGTCTTCCACACCCACAGAGCTTGTGGAGTGCCGGGCATCCAGCACCATCTGCAAGAAGTCTCTCCGCCTCTGAGGACGAGAGAGGAGAAGGCACGTTAGAGCCACAGAGTGAGGCTGGAGGACGAGGGAGGTGGAGCTTCTGTACAGCTTATTAGGAACAGGGTCTTGTCACTTCGTTATCTGAGATGGTGAGAACCTGGTAGTCACCCGAGTGACCCTCCAGACAGCAGTGAGGGGCAGACAGATGCCCCGGTGAAAAAATGAGGCTTCTTTGCCGTTGTACAGACTCACGGAGCAACAGTAGAACGGTTTAATGCATGCAATTTAATAAATAAATGATGGCGGAGAGCAGAGTCTTTCCTTATCTACACTGTGTGCGTTGTGTACATCTGGAGTCTTCAGACTCTCCTTCTGTGGTTGTTTACAGAACAGTCACCTAGCTGTGAATATAGTGACCCTGCTGAGCTCGGGAACATCAGAATATAGTCCTCTTACTCATCAGGGTCTGGGGACCCAACCACCTCCTTTCCCTTCCCCTTTCCCTCATCCCCCCAGCCTCCAGTGACAATCATTTTCTATTTCTGAGATCAGATTTTCAGCTCCCACATACCCAACAAGCACGCTGTGTTTGTCTTTCTGTTCCTGGCTTATTGCACTTAACATAATGTCTTCCAGTTTCTATCCATGTAGCTGAAGCCAGCAGATTCCATTCTTTGTATAAGGCCAAATAGTATTGTAGTGTGTGTATGTACCATACTCCCTTCTTCTACACTGGTCCAGGCCATTCCATCCAGGCTGATTCCTACCTGACCCCACAATGTGCTTAAAACAAAGCAAGTTTTAGAGCAGTCAATACAGTGGGATCTCATCCTTTAAAGACAGTAAGTGTACAATCTAGAGAACTCTGGCATCAGTTACACCTGCATTCAGCAGATCCCTAGAGCAGGCGGAGGTGGGAAAACCAAGGTCTTTTAGTTCTTCTGATTAGCACTTTCCGCACGTTTGTACTATTGGCAGAATTGAAAATGAGAAAACACCTGATGAAGTCAGAACACACGTCTACTGTTTACCATGCAAGGACACAGTGGGCGGCTGAGAGTTTTCTCACACAGTAGACAGTCAACAGGATGGGATGGGGGCATGGAGCCGAGAGCTGGCTTGTCTTCAAAGTCCCCAGACTTGGCAGCCTGCTTCCTATGGAGTCCTTTTTTTTTTCTCTCCAGTAATCCTCAATCTCCTTTGAGTGGTTAAAGCCTTCTTATGGCTTCCCCTACCTTCCTTATCAGTAATTTGCATATCCTTTACATTTTGACTACCGCTAATTCTAACTCTGAGTGTTTACCCGCTGCTCTGGCATTCACAAAGTATCTTCCCAGCACATTCCCTTCTTTGAAATGTCCTTTAATGTGATGAATGACAACCAGGATGTTGCTCTTTTCTGAAGTTTATGGGATTAAAACAGCAAGAGGAGAGAGTATCAGAACCTCCGACAGGAAAATATTATAATTTCAAAGTACTTTCCTAGTTGCAGCGTTTTCTCAATTCATTGGCTTCCGATTTTCCGTTGCATGAATAATCGATGCCCCACACATCAGCAAGTAATTCCATCTTTTAAGTTTGTTGGCATTTCATGTGTGGCTTTCTCTGCTCCATGAGATGAAAAGCGACCCCAGGGTGAGACCCACCCCTCTCCCCACACCTGTGCCAAGTGTTGCACTGAGCGCATATTAAACACAAAATAGAATCTTCTACAAATCGGAATGTAAGGCGGCAGATGCCCTTGGGGAACGGCGCGTTGGGTTTGGTTTCAACTGTTCAGCTGCCGTTTGGAGTGGGAAGCATTTGCTGATGAACAGGTAGTGACAATCAAAGGTGTGTGCTGGGAGCCTGGCAGGGTTACCACTAAAGGTTACAAACACGCAGGCCAAGGAGGCAGGCTCGCTCTCCACTTCCCACCAGCCTCTTCACACTTGAGCAGCAGAGACAAAGGCTAAGCCCGTGCTTCCTCGACATTCCCCGACCCTGCTCATTTTGCTGTCCAAACTTCCCAACTGTTATTGGCCAGCACCTGGGTGGCAGTTGCGGTGCCACTGCTGAAATGTCACAGGGGGCACCAAAGATGACACAGGGAGAATGTGACACCTGAGGCTCCCTGGGTGCCTGGAGCTGCCTGGAGAAGCAGAGTGTACTCTTAGGCCTCATGGCACAGTTGAGCCCCTAAGGCTTGACTGTAGCTTTTTTTGGGTGCGGTGGGGATAACAAGACGGCTCTCAGCTATAGCCACACCATGTATTTTTCCAGAAGCAGCATGGTGGCTGGCATTCTCTCCTCTTATCCCAGCCCAGCCAGGCTGCTAAAACAGCTGGTGAAGTCTTGTAGAAATCTGTCTTAACCACCAGCTAATGAGGCTAGGGGAAAGGGCCTCTCTCTAGGGCTCATGAGCTAGGGAGGACTATTAGTGCAGATGGAATTCTTTCATTCACAGGGCATCATGGAGACCATGCGAACGCTGCCCATTTAGGATGGAAACAGGGCTGGTTTATGGTTGTATCCAAGAAAAATACATGCCCTGATAGATGTAGGTGTCTAATCCGCCCATCGGCTAGAGCTTAGAAAAATATTTACCTTTTAACATCTGTGCAGCATTTTCACTGTGCAAACACACATCTGTTTGATGGAATGTATACAGAGTTCAGATGGGTTCTAAGTGAGTTTTCTTAGTAACTGTATAGCTTTGACTTGACACCGGCAGCCCTGGATTTGTGGTTGGGAGGTTTTTCTCAGATCAACTCATTGTTTGAAACAAATAGCTGTAAAGTTTATAAAAGGAAAAGCTTGAGGCAATCCCAGTAATTGGCTCTTTAATAACCTCTCACCTCTTAGTCACTCAGAGCAACGGTTTTTGAATTTTCAGCCTGGTTCTCCAGTGGGTTTCAGGCGTGTGTGTGTGTGTGTGTGTGTGTGTGTGTGTGTGTGTGTGTGTGTGTGTGTGTGTGTGTGAGAGAGAGAGAGAGCTCTCACAGGGCAGCCCTTTGCAGCAATGGGGAGGTTTGAAAATGGTTCTTTATTTCTTGTCCTTTAGGCATCTTCCTCATGGCCCAGAAACATATATTTGAATGAAACTGTCCTGTCTTTTCTGTCTGCTTCAGAGTGGGACTGGGTATACCAGTTGCCCCAGTTTTCCCCACCTCTAAAGGCATTCAAGTGGAGCTGATGGTAGTGTGGGCCAAGGGGTTGAGAGCTTGTATATACTCCCCTATACCTTCCCTATCCAGAAAAAGTTGCTACACAGTCCCCAGGGTGTGTAGCTGAGTAGGACAGGCTGCTGCCCAAGGCTTCTAAGTGCATCAAGCCACTAATTGACTCGGATTTCATTCTAGGCCAATGCCTTAACCATCAGGCCTCATGAATCCCTCTGAGCCACTGTCTTTGAGAAAACCCTTTTAAAGCTTCATCTTGCTCAAGGCAGTTAAGGGAAAGCCCCTTTAGTCCTTTTTTTTTTTTTTCAATTTAGTAACTGTCTTTAATGCAATGAGACCATTAATGGACAGCTTTAACATGGGCAGGAGTATCTCCTGACGCTGGGAGATTATTTCTTACGTTGAAAATGCCATCTACTTAGAGTCAAATTCAACCAATATTTACTTATCTCTACTATGTGCCAAGCAGAGTGTGAGCCTGTAAGGGACAGAGGAAACGGGGGAGCATGCCAAACAGAGCAGGGGCCCCAACCACAAATTTTCTACCAAGAATCTGTGTTGAAAAAGAGTGTGGGATTGATTGACAGTTGCCCAAACTTCTTGCTAATATTTATGCTATTCATGTTATGAATCCCCCATCTTGCTACTTTTCAGCAGAAAGGCTGTGTTCATGAAAATTGCATGAGACGCTTACTTAGAAAATTTGGGGATGGGGTGGGGCTATTGCAACCTGTGCTTGGGGTAATTTCTAGGTTGTGTGAGTCAGTTCAGGGGCTAGCATTCATTCTACAGCTCACATCAGGAATGGGCACATGATGGGGGCTTCTCCCTACCATCCATCCCTTCCCGCCCTCCCTCCTGCTGCTTTCTGTTGGCCCCGGAAAGCTCAGAATGGGAGACTCCTATAGGACAGCTCCATGTGACATGAGGGCTCGGGAGGGTGGGGAAAAGAAAGAGAGAGTGATGCCAAATTAGGTTCCATTCTGTTTCCAGGCTGCATCCTATTAAAATAGTTACCTCTTCTGCTGCTTGCTGGTCCCGTAAGGCAATCACGTTCCTAATGAGTTTGTTAAAAAAGCCATTCAGTTCATCTCGGTTCTTATTGGGCAGAATCCGGGCCAATGGGACCATTATGGATGGAAATGATACTTGAAAGAGAAAAACAAAAGTGGCATTGAAGGGGGAGTGATAATGAGCCGGGGCTATTAGACTCCTGTTACTAGGAAGCAAGTGCCAGTCTTGAATGGGAGTCACTTGGGAGGCCCGTCTTCCCTCCAGACTCAGCGTTTCTCATAGCAGAGTTTGATCTGGCTTGAGCTCTGCTCTCTATCCCATTCCCTGCACACAGTAAGCCCTCATTATGTGCCCGTGCAATAAAGTGAGTCCTTATGTGTACCTGGCCTTGCAAACCCAATTTCATACTTAGAAACCCCTATCTCCAATCTCAGATGGGAGCGGTCTTTGCAGTTCATCAGGACAGAATAGGTGACTGGCGGTATGTCGAGCCTTCACAAAGAAGTACATCTACTTTATTAACTTTCTGGCCATTTGTATCTGTCTTTCTCTGGAATAAATGTCCCCACAGCAGTCACCTGAATTGTCCCTAAGACATGCTGCTGCAGCTTCTGACAAGGATACTCCCCTGTCTTGCAGCCTGGGTTCTTAGGACAGGGTTCCCTGGATCAAGACACTTAATCAAATCTCCCTAAGAGAGGTTCTGGGCGCAGGGGTGAGGCCTTGTCACAGAGGCATGCGACTACTCAGACTACAGCCTGCCAAGGAGGCTTCACACAACCCTCTGTGTTGAGTCAAGCTGCAGACAGTAGATCCCAATGCTCGCACTCCTCAGCCTGTTTAGAAGTTTAGAGAGCAGGGGCCTTGCTAATGGAACCCCTTGCCTCATAGGACAGAGTGTCTGATGGCAGAAGGTGCATGGGAGGGGTAGCCTTAGCCCCAGCAGACCCCCTAGACACAAAGAAAAAGGCCAGCTGACCCCCCCCCCACAAATGCATACAGTTTCAGTGTGCTAAAGATGGAGGTGACAAGGTTTCCCACAGAAACTGGCTCAGAAATGAGAAGAAAAACTGAATGGTCTGTGATTCTGATACGCAGGAGGGTGAGGCAGGAGGATGTTAACTGGACACCAGACAAGACTGTATAAACAAGATCCTGACTCAAAAAAAGGAAGAGGAGAGGAGGAAGAGGAGGAAATGGAGACAAGGAAGAGGAGGAAGAAGGGAGGGAAGAGGAAGAAAAGGGAGAGGAGGAAGAAGAAATAAGAATGAAGCTGGCTCAGGTGTGTCCAGACTATGCCGCTCTGGCAGAGTGGCCGACAACTGAAGGGCTCACACACACACTCCAGTGTTCCCACAAAAGCAGGAAGATACTAGAACTGTTCAGAAGGAAAAGACTCCCTTGTAAAAATCAATGGACCAGTCACCCACTGTGTGGTTTCTAGTTTAGGAATCATTGGCTTCTGGTAGAGAAGTCCCCAGAAGAGGGTTTTGAGTGAGGGAACAAAAACAAACAAACAAACAAAAAGCCCTAGGAAATGAGAGACTGTGTTCTAGTCTTGACTTTGCCTTTCTATGCACCAGCTTTCTGGTGTGACAGAGGTCAGGGTTACCTGTGTTGGTGATAAGTCACCCCAGATTGTGAGCCTTCTGGTGGCTCCAGGAAGACAAAGTCTTTGCAGATCAGTCCTCAGAGACCCCCGAGGGACCTTTCCTAGTGGAAGGGACTCAGCCCTGCAAGCTGTCCCATGGGTGATGGTCTGGTCTCACCGCCCCAGGTAGGGGATGCACTTACAGATTAAAGCCAGGAGAGGCCTGGGGATACGCAAGGCAAAGAATTGACGGCAGTGTTGCACAAAGGGATCTTCCGGAGTGTTCTGGGAGTCCACCTGGGTGCCAAAGGCCACACTGGCCACCACATTTGTGGTGTAACAGCAGTAACACCTGTGGAGGGAGAAACAATGGGATTGAAAGCTATGGTATTGACTTTCCTACAGTGCACCCCTCCTGGTCTGCATGGCTGGCCTTGGCACCACAGAGGGGCTCCCAGCAGATCTGAGTTGGGTATCAAGAGGGAAGCTTCCTGGATGAGCAGCAACAGCAGAGTATGAGTGGAAGCCTTACCAAGGAGCCATGGGAGGGAGGGTGAGGGCATCACTGACTCAAGTTTTAGAACAGAGTTGAACACCCAGGTGCATACCTTGGCGGGGGGACTCCCTGTGAGGAGGGAAACAGGAGCCCCAAAGTCTAGGGGCTTTAGTCCCCAATGCTTGCACAGCCCTTCTCAGGCCAGAATCTAATGATTAATTGACAGCTGCCAAGTTGGCATTGATGAATGAAGCTAATTAGTTCATTTTATTAACTTCCCTCCCCTTTCCCTTCTCATGATTTGGAACACTTGTTTGCTCTCTCTCTCTCTCTCTCTCTCTCTCTCTCTCTCTCTCTCTTTGCATATAACCCTGGCTAGCCTCTACCTTTCCTGCGATGGGACTAAAGGCAAGTTCCATGACACCTGGTGACTTTGCGGTTTTTGAAAGTGCAACAAACAAAAGCAGGGGCTCTTCTCACTTGAATGGATAGCAGACAAACTTTGGGCAGGCTTCCAGGATCTACTTATTACTGAAAACACCCATTGCCCCTTTCAAACAAACAAAAGTAAATGCACCCTTCAATAGCCATAGGAAATTTAACCCGAGGAGAGGAAGCCTGTCCCTCCCAAAGGCCATTTTAAACTAGCATTATTCTTTCATAAGGCGTTATGCATTTATTATGATTGCATACATTTGCATGGTGTATGTTTGTGTGTGTGTGAGTGTGTATGTGTGAGTGTGAGTGTGTGAGTGTGTGTGTGTGTGTGTGTGTGTGTGTGTGTGTGTGAGTGTGTGTGTACATGATGCTGCCACAGTGCACATCACATGTGACAGTCAGAGGACAACTTTTCGGAGTCTATTATTTCCTTCCGCCTTCCACCCTGTCATCTCCATCATCAGCACATTGAAACTCATGCATTGGTGGGGTCAGTCGGCCTCTTTCTTTGTGTCATTTTTGAGGATCAAACTTCGATCACTAAGCTTTTCACAATTCACTTTGACCTCTGAGCCACTTCAACAGTCCTTAGACAGAGGAGGGCACCAGATCTCATTACAGATGGTTGTGAGCCTTCCTGTGGTTGCTGGGAATTGAACTCAGGACCTCTGGAAGAGCAGTCAGTACTCTTAATCGCTGAGCCCTCTTTTCAGCCATCTTTCTGTTTTGTTTTTTTTTTTTTTTTTAACATTTTACTTATTATGTATACAGTGTTTCTGTCTTCATGTTGCCTGCAGGCCGGAAGAGGGCACCAGATCTCATCACAGATGGCTGTGAGCCACCATGTGGTTGCTGGGAATTGAACTCAGGCCCTCTGGAAGAGCAGTCAGTGCTTTTAACCTCTGAGTCATCTCTCCAGTCCTCTTTCTATTTTCTTAAAGTCACTTCCATCTTAAGTTCTTCTTAAGGAGGCTAATAAATGAGTTATTAATATTCTTCTATAATTGTAATGTCTGTTTGTCATGGACACGGGCACATCTAGATCCTCTTCTGCATGAGTTCTGCAGTCACCAGCTTGGCAGTGGAGAATGAATGCCATGACTTGATGGCTCTAAAATTCTGACTGCTTTTATTGGAAACATTTCCACAACTGATCACAGATCTCCCTATTGAAGCAAAAACTATGCATGACTACTGGGTGCTTAATGATTCCAGGGACTGAGGAGGCATTTGCTTTGCTTCACTAGCTGAGGAGCCCACCTTATCTTCCTCCACCTTCTGCACAATCTGAGAGTGTAGGCGAGAAGCTCTGTCAACAGTTGGGCATGACGAGAATGTTGGTGTTGACTGTGCTGTGATTTTATTAGCAGTGATAACTCTGAGTCAGCTATAGCTGATCTACAGTCATTCTGGTCCCAGTCTGCTGCCAGCCCACAATTTAGCGTAAAACATCTAGTGGTTGCTAGGAGAAGAGTCAGTCACTTGACTTGCCAGCTGTATATACTTAACATCACCCTCCTACCCACCATGCACTTTAGCCCAGACAGGCCTTGAACTTGTAATCTTCCTACCTTTGTTTCCTGAACAGGTCAGATCATATGCCTTGCTTATATTATTATTTTTTTGTAATTTCTGATTTTTTTCTAGACATCATTACAAGTATCCCAGACAGGCCTTGAATTCCCCATATACCCAACATCCAGAACACAGGGCTGCAAGTGTATAGTAACATACTAGGTTTCATGCAGTGTTGGGGACTAATCCCAGGGTTTTGTACACACCAACCAAATGCTCTACCAACTGAACTGTAGCCTCAGACTCATGACTCACTTTTTTTTTAAGACAGGGTCTCACTGTGCAGCCCTCGCCTAGAACTCACTCTGTAGACCAGACCCCTGCTTCCCAAGTACTGGGATGAAAGGTGTGCACCATATATGACCTCACAATTCTTCTTGATATGAAAGTTTAGGGACTTTGCCTAAAGTCCCGTCCTTTTGGCTATGGCATGTCCACAGAGGTCAGAAGATAGGTCTGTTCAGGGACTAACCACTGCATATTTGGATTTCCTCAGCAGGCGGCATCCCTGGTTGCTTTGTGCCATGGTTTAAGTGGGTTTCTTCTCATTAGTCAGTCTGTCCGTGCCATTGGGAGCATCCGGCATTTCCAGTTGGCTACTCCCAAGGTAATTGTCCAGCAATTATGTACAGTCACAAGAATCAGTCACTCAGGGCTGTGACTTCTCACCTGTAATGGAGCAGCCTTACCTCTGGATGTCGAATGTGTCTCTGGATGCTGCATAGAGCTTTAAGTGACTCAGGAGATGTTCACAGGCTTGGCTGATGAGAGGCGTCATCTGATAATAGATAGCAGAGGTGTAATTAGGACCTTGTGCCTGAATTGGCTGCAGATGATGGACAAAGTTGCGTGCAGTGCTTTCTGGGAAACAGACTGTATTTCAAAGGTACTTTCAATGAGGCTAAGATTAAGGGACTATGCACAATATCTGTGAATACAGTGTCTACAAATACCTATTTGAAGCTTAAGTAAGCTTTCTGTGGCAGAAGCACAAAAGAAGAAAGGATAAAAAGTAAATCTGGTGAAATAATTATGAAAGCGATCATTAAGTGTTTAGACAAAACTGTAAATCAGTGCCCGGCTTCCTGACACGTGGTTAGCATTAGCGAGCAACTAGACCATACTCCATATGTCTTAGCCCTGGAACTACCCCAAGTCCATGCATACTTGCTCCAATTAAGCTTTCGGATCTCCCACCAGAACATAGAATCTAGTATCCAGAGGAACTGAGGGTCAGCCGTTGCAACTTCTTAATTAAACGGGAAGTTATCTTGATGGTATTTCTGAGAGACAGGTTTTCATTCATTTCAACAGCTTAAGCCTTCCAAGACAGGGCTACTCTTGACCTGCACAAGGCAACTGTTGGTGCCTTAATACTAAAATACTTTATTGTGGGCAATTGCTCACACCAGGAGAAAGGTCTAGAGAGCAGCGCTGTGCACGTCTGCGTGGTGCCAGCCCCACCACCCCTTCTCCCACGCACACTTGACTGGAGTGCTTTGCTGCTGACTGACAGGACTACAGTTTTCGACTATGCCATGCCTGCTATCTGTCACAACTGAATGGATAATGATGTTTTTATCTGGATTCATATGGTATGAGATGGGGCAGGTAATATGAAAATATTTTAAGAAGCAATGCAGAGAAAATACCACAAGACAGTGTAGTATGACCTGTGTGTTGGCCAGTGGCCACTGTTTCTGTTTTTCTCTCGTGTGTTATGCACCACTGTTACAGAATGTCTACTCTGGCATGAGCTGCCTACAAGCAAAGCCTCTCTGGGTTGGGCACATGGAAGAGCCCTGCAGCCCCTTCCCTGAGTTTTCAGACAAGAAGGTGAATGCGGCCATGAGACCAGAAGAAACCCAATGTTCTTCCACCCAGATCTTAAGGCAGGCTTTCATTTCATTGTGTTTCATCTTTGTAGGACAATGAGTGAATTTTTATTTTTGCCTTACCCAACATTTACAAGATGCACATATGTTGTATTTTTAATCACACAAAATATTGATACCATTTGGTTTTTAAAAATGGATTTCTTCTTCTTGTTGTGGACTGAGTGTTTGTGTCCTCCTGAAATCCATATGTTGTTGATCTAATTCCCAGTGTGGCTGGATCGGAGATGTGGCCTCCCAAGAAACCATTAACATTAAATGAAATCTTAAGAATAAGGCCTTGCCAGGCATTGGTGGCTCACACATTTAATCCCAGCACTCATGAGGCAGAGGCAGGCTGATTTCTGTAAGTTCAAGGCCAATCTGGTCTACAGAGTGAGTTCCAGGACAGCCTCCAAAGCAATACAGAGAAACCCTGTCTCAGAAAACCAAACCAAAACAAAACAAAAACCAATCAAACAAACAAACAAACAAAAAGAATAAGGCTTTGATCTGGGGATGATGGTGTGTGCTTGTAACTACAGAATCCAGAAGGCTGAGGTAGGAGAATTATGACTTCTAGGCTAGCCTGGGCCTCATAGTGAGTTTGAGGCCAGCCTGAGCTAAACAATGAGACTGTCTTCAAAGAGGATCTTGTGAGCACATAGCAAGATGGATGGGTGGCTCCCTGAAATCCACAAAAGAGAAGCCACCGAAAGCCACAATTCCAGGACCCTGTTCTCCAATAACTGAGAGAAAACATGCACCTATTGTTTAAACCACTCACTCTGTAGTATTTTCTATTACAGTCTGAGTTGGCTAAGGCCAGGGTGACAGTCTAGCAGTCAAGCCTGGCTTGTCCCTAGAGGAGACAGTCAGAATATGGGACTGGGTGACTTTTGGTGAGTGGGCACAGTCACCAAGAGTAAGGCTCCATTCTCAGTTTGGGAAGAAAATTCCCTAAGGAAGGAAGTTATTGCTCCACCTGGACTTCATTATGTAAACCAGTGCCCAGTGTTTTTCAGAAGGCAAGTGTGTGGGTTCTCTTTCTTAGCAGCAGACAAAGAAGACTCCTTACAGGGAGACGGCCAAGAAGGGGAGAGGCATTCTGCTCAGAGGTGCATTTGCCAACCCCTGTCGATGCTCTCCCAAATCCCACCTTGGCATTCATCTTGTGGGAGTGGGGGGTGGAGGATTTGACTTGGGTAATTCACACTGGCTCAAAGCCGAGAAAACACTCAAAGTCATCACCAATGACTATGACTCCATTCCCTGGAACTTCATAGTTTCTTGCAAAGGCCTAAACTTGGTGAGTTTATTTCTTCACCCACAGAATGGGGTTAATAATACCTCCTTTGAACTGTTCTAAGTACAGTTAGAAATAAAATCTGTAAAGCACGTAGCACAGTCAGGAGGGTCTGAACTCGGCACCTGTCCTATGGAGGACCCATCTCCAGGCTGGTGTGGACACCAGGAATCCTCCTCTCAACTTTCTTCTTCCTCACCAGCATCTCCCAATTGGGCCCACATGTTTGGTCTCATTGTGTAAATGCCCTTGATCTTGTTTTGTTCTTTTCTTTTTTCCTGGTTTTTCGAGGCAGGGTTTTACTGTCCTAGAACTCATTCAGTAGACCATGATGGCCTCAAATTCACAGAGATCTGCCTGCCTCTGCCTCCCAAGGGCTGGGATTAAAGGTGTGCGCCACCACTGCTGGCAGACTTTTATGTCTTAGCACTTGGTGCCCACCTGGAGGTGCTGTACTGGGAAGCTGTGGACACTTTAGGAAGTAGGATCTTGGAGGAGGTAGGTCATTGGGGTGGGTCTGAGACTGGCCTCATTTCTTATCTACTCTGTCTGCTAACTGCAGGTACAATGTAACCAGCTGTCTCTTGCTCCTGCCTCTGTGCCTTCCATGTTGTGATGGACTGTTTCTCTTAAACTGTGAGCCAGGATCAACCCTCCCTTCTTAAGTTGCTGTTGTCTGGTGTTTTGTTAAAAGAAAATAAAAAAAAAAAAAAAAAATAAAAAAAAAATGAGGTGAAAAGTTGGGGGGGGGGGGGGGGGGGGGGGGGGGGAAGGGGGGAGAAGCAGTCATCTTCTAAATTTGGGTTTGTAGAGGGTTGTATCATTAACCCTGTCTACTTGAAGTGACACATCCAGTCTATAAAGAACTTCATTGACATCTCTGACTTTAGAAATTTGTGCTCAAATAATTTCATGAACACAAGAAAAAAGAAGGTTAGGCCATCTGACTCCTGTTGCTTTCTCACCAAAACCAGATCCCATGTTCCCTTTGCCCCTCAATATATCTACTCTTAGGTTATAATTTCACTCTCTGCAGATCTGATACTATGAACTCAAGGAAGAAAAGATGGAAAGGACGGAAGGAAGGAAGAAAAAAGGAAGGAAGGGAGGGAGGGAGAGAGGAAGGGAGAGAAGAAGAATAAAGAAAGACCTCAGCATTTAAAAGCCTTTGGAAGTCTGGAAGTTTGGGGAATGGCATCTCACTGAGTGTTGGGGAGCTCATTGTTTTCCTACTTCCATTCAGGAAGTAGGAAAAAAGTGGTCTTGATTTATATGACAATGCTGAAGTGATCTGAGCCCCACCATTGATGGTGTATAACTAGCTTAGTCTTTTACCCGTGTGTGGAGAAAGACTAAGAAAAGAATCAGAGTAGAGGCTTGTACCTCATCCCACACCCAGACCCAGGGAACCTGCCCACACTCCTTGGCTGGGCACTGTAGAAGAGATTCCAGATGTACCATTTACAGTTCTCATTTGCTCCAGAAGGATCTGCCTCAGACGTCTGGGGACATCTGGCATCTTGAAGGCTAAAAAGGAAAATGGAGTACTTTCTCTGGGCGGAGAGTTCTGAGCAAGTCACTCCTCTACTTCCAAGCTCTTGGCTTCCCCTGGGACAGGGCAGAGGCCTCTGCATGCCTCAACACACTTTTACAATTCTTTTGTCCCTGGTCTCTTTCTTGCACCCTGTGTCCCAGCCTGAGTGAAACTCCCTAGTCTCTGATATGCCCTATACTGCTCTGTCCAGACACCTGTGAGTCTAGCTCAGAACCTTCTCCTTATCATCGACTTCAGAGGTCCCAGGAGCAAAGTAGTTTATGGTCCTCAAAACTAGACAAGGGCTCTGTCACTGCCCTCACTACTTGGTCATCATGCAGTAATTTGTGTATCTTGCTGAACTTCTGCACTATACATTTCTTAAAGATTGAAATCAACAAATGTGAGATGCTAACCTTCCTTCCTGTTTGGTGCTGCCGTTTGAATCTGAACAGTCCCCGAAGGTCCCTGTGTTAAAGCATTGGTCCAGGGTGCTATTGGGGAGCGATAGAACTTGGAGAGGTGGGGCCTACTCAGAGCTCTTAGGATTATTGGGAATGTGACCTTGAAGGGCATCTGTGGCCCCTGCCTCTTCCCTTTCTCCTCTTTCACTTCCTGGCCTCCAGTGGAGAGGCTCACCCTGCCTGCGGCCCCTCCACAGTGCACTGCTGCCCTGCTACCCCGTTTCCTGAACAGAGACATAAAAGCAGTATGGCCATCAGCTGCGGACTGGAATCCCCAGAGTTATAATACTATGTTTGTGTGTGTGTATGATGATTATCCTGGCATTTGCTATAGTAACTCACCATTGACTAAAGCTGTAGGCCTGAGCATCCATGTTTAAGAACTGAAGTTTGGGGGGGGGCATCTGAATACATAAGGGTGAGCTACCAAAGGGGCTTTAAAAACGAATGCCTTAAAGTGCTCTGACTGTTGACTAACAAATGAAAAACTTAATTCTGGCTAATGAAACTTATCACTTCCTTCATCCACTGCACCATTGCTAAAAGCCACCCAGATATTAAAAACATCCATGACTCATTTCTATGCAAAATTCCCCGCTGGTTCACATCAGCTCCAGCCACCTAGATGAATAATCAAGTGTCCCTTCCAATAAGTCAGAGACTCCTGTCAAGGAGTTGTGGCCAATTAAAACTTACTCCGGTGAGGAGGGGGCTGCTGGTGTTGCCAAGCAACAGCCAAGCTGTAAAGCACATTTAGATGCTCCTTCCCATTTAACCAGCGGCAAGTTGGGAGTGACATTATGATTCCAGCAAAAGGAAGACAAATTATAACCCAGGATGGGGTATCGGTGATGAGGGGTGTGTTTTCTTTTAAATGCAGATGGAAAAGGAGCATTTTTAAAGTAGAATTTAAACAGTCCATCATTATTCTGATTTTAATTAGAAGATTAGGTGTCAGTAGGGTACAACTGTGTCTCAGGATAATGGTCACATGCTGCTAGATAAATACCCAGACACCCTGGAAAACGGGCAACTGGTCAGATAGGGACAATGTATTTTTGGACTCTGAAGTATTTATTACCACAGCTACTCTGGTTTGTAATGACTTTGATTTTTATTGTTCGGAAGGATTAAGAACTAAAAGCAAATATTAAAAGTAAACCGCCCGCAGGGATGCCACCAAGAGAAAGCTGCTTGCTCCAGGGTTATTGGAAAACTCTCTTCTGCTGCAGAAGCCCCTGTACCGACTGCCTGAAGAGTTTATGCAGGGAATTTAAGGGCCAGACAAAGCCCAAAGCCATGGTGATGACTGTAATTGTGCGAAGACTTTCGTACTGAAATGGTCTGAGCCACGCATTCACTCATAAGCTGGCTGTATCAACTTGAATTTTTAAAAATTGTAGCTATTCTTGAGTCATACCTCTTCTCCCGGGCAGGAAAGGCCTGTGGGGAGTAATAAGCACGTATGCCTCTGTCTACAAGACTCATACATTATTGACTATGCCTTCCCGACAGGAAACATCTGGATGAAAGTGAAAAATTAGGCAGAGAGCTGCAGCCCCCGGTGCAGTGCAAGATGCCAGCCTTCCTTGTTTGTCTTACATTGTGGAAACCGGCATCCGCACACTGCTGTGTGAGTGGCTCACTTACTTGCCGGTGACACCCACATCCTCAGGGTCTCACTTGTGAAGTGGCCTGGTCTCTTGTACCTGCTCGGTCCTTGGTTGTCTAGGCAGGGGAGCAAATGGCCACCACTGACAGAAGATTCTGAGGACAGATCATATAAGCTGCCTGAAAGGGGTTGAATAATGTCACTGAGAGATTGTGTGCAGAGGTTTGGTCTTCAGGACTGAGGTATGAGGAGGTGCTGTGGACCTTGAATAGCTGGGTTACTGGGAGCATGCCTTTGCAGGGGATTGTGGGACCCTGCTCTGTCTTTGTCTCTGCTCTGATTCCAGATGTGAACATTTGCTCCAGTGTGCACTCGTCATGGCCTTCCCCTATCTGCCATTCTCACCGGAGGCCGAGCCAGTACAGATAATTGATTTTAGACTTTGACTTTGCTAAATTGCAGGCTAACTAGACCTTTTATCTTGATAGGTTATCTGCCTCGGGTATTTTATTGTAGCAATGCAAAGTTGACTGATACGTTGCCATGTTGGATTGTTGTCCTTGAAGCAGTGAAAAATGAGACTCGCAGTGGGAACTAGGAAGATGTGCTCACCATTTGCTCACTAAAAACTATGGCAGTGACTCCCCAGGCTTTTGCCCTTTTAAAGCTGTGAGTGCAGAACCGATAATCAAATGTCTTTTTAACATGTTAAGTGCACAGTGAGTTATTCAACCACGGAAGTCTTTTCATCCTCTGTGATTTCAGATCCCTTTCCTTGGTAGTTGTATTGCTCTGCTTTCTGCCACTATGAAAACACACCTGAGACAGACACCCAGTTTATACAGGGAATATGTTTCTCTTGGCTCACATTTTTTGGAGGGTTTGGCTAGGGTTTGTGTCAGAGCAAAACCTCTGACTGCACAGCCAGGAAGCAAGAGAAGGAATCTGAGATGTTTGGGATGCCATGGTCCCCTTTCAGGGATGTGCCTCTTACCAACTCCCAGTGGAGTTACTCTAGAGACCCAGCCTTTCACACACAGGCCTGTAGGAGGCATCCAGGACCCCAGTCCTATAAGGGAGCTGGACTCATCATCACTTCGATGCAGTTACAACTTTCTCTACAATTCATTCTCTCCTCTTGGGTACCAGAAGGTCACCTGCTGCTCTCCTGCTGACTCGCTATCTTACAAGTCTGTGAAAGTTAGTCCTTCAAGTTGGAAGAATTTAGAAGGAAACACACATACACAGTTTCCACGGAATCGTCCCTCTTTCTGATGAGTTATGACATTTAAAAATAAAACACACTAACCTGCCCTGAGGGCGTCCCATTATTTATGTGTTTCCATTGGAGAAGTATGGATTTAGTTTCAATTTTTTTTCCCTGAAATTAAACCCATTTACTTCCTGGTTCACAATAAAATTGCACACGATTCCAGGATTACTCATAGCCTTTGGTAAGGAATCTAGTGAAAGACTGTCAAGACCTAAATAAATCTCCCAGCTGCCCTTTTAAAAAGCACAAATGTTTTTGGAGGATGGGTGGAAATCTGGCAGGTTAACCAGGCAAGATTTTCTCTAGCAACAACAAAAATCAGTTATGTTCTAAGCAACACTCAGTAATCCATTCTATAAATCCTAACCACCAGTCTGTCTCTACACTATGCTGCTGCTCCCTTCTTCCTGAAGCAGGAGGCATTTGCTCTGGCTTTACCTCTGCATATTATCCCCACTAAGACGAAAGCCAAAAGCAATTTATTTTTAAATGAAAATGTGACCTCCCTTGACTCTCAGCTTTTCCAAACAAACAGCAAAAGCCACATAAACAGGCATGCACACACATAAGTGTGTGTGTGTGTGTGTGTGTGTGTGTGTGTGTGTGTGCTCGTGCATGAACACACACAATGCCGATCATAAAATAATTCCAAGCACTGTTGACTGAGGCAGCCTAACCTGAGGGAGATGAAGCTGATGGGTGGCTAACGTCTAAGAAGGCCTCCGGAAATCAGCAGGGCCCTGGGAAAGGGGGCGTGTGGCATGAGGGTGCAGGTGGGGAACACCATAGCTGTCAAGGTGCCAAAGGAAAACTCTCACAATTCCAAGCAAATTGATTTATTTTATTTAGAATAAACCCAGGGGGTGGGGGTGATAAACCCTGAAGTTTGGTGACAAAAGTCCAAAAGCCACTGACTGATTCAGGAAGGGTGCTCTCTCCATATATCTGTGTGCCTGGGCTCAGCATCCCCACACTGTCTCGTTTTCCTTTGTCTCTATGACTTGCTTTTTCCACTTTCACATGCACAGCTTGTGAGTTTGTAAGGAGAAAGCCAACAACTTGCAACATCTGCTTACTTAGCCTTTTCTTTTCCAGTTATGTGTCTGGTGTGTGTGTGTGTGTGTGTGTGTGTGTGTGTGTGTGTGTGTGTGTGTGAGTCTGTGTATGTGTCTGTGCATGGGTGTGTGGCTGCCCAAAGAGGCCAGAGCAGCAGATTCCCCGGAGCTGAGGTTACAGGCGGTTGTGAGCCACCTGATGTGGGTGCAGGGAACCAAACTTGGGTCCTCCGTGAGAGCAATGTGGACTCTTAATGATGGAGCCTTCTCTCCAGTCCCTTAACTTTTTTCTTGATAAAATCACTTCCCTTTCATTTTTTCTTAGCACAGCATTATTGGAACAGACAGAAAGTTCTCTTGTTCTTTGAGCCAACATTACTGAGTGCTTATTAGACACCTTGTATATGCAGCTTAAAGTTAAAAAAAAAAAAGGTAACAGGAAAGAGGGAAAATTTGTCCCCTGAGACATCCACGTAGCAGATGAGAAACAACAAACACAGTAAATATATAAACTGAATGGACCCTTGGAGTCACAGAGAGAAATAAGACAGAGAAGGCAGGGCCTGGGAAAGCAACAGGTAAGAGGTACACTGAGATGAGGGGACCGAGCAGAAGACTCACTCCTTGGGGCTGCCCCACTCAGGCTTTAGCAGGATCATGGGGGGGACCCACAGGTTCTCAGGAACCTCCTGGAGTAGTTTTAGTTTGTTTTAGTAATTAGTTTTCTAGTTTGTTTTGTTTTGTTTTTGAGACAAGGTCTAATTACGTAGCTTAGGCTGACTTCTAACTTGTAACCCTCACTCCTATACCTCATGAATGCTGGGATTATAGGCAACAAATTGTAATCTGCCCCTAGTCCCATGGTGAGAACCGACGAGCTAGAGGTGAAAGGCCAAAGAAGCACTAGAAGCCACCAGGGTCACATCTGCTGAGGAAGGAGGTAGTCAGGACACACTTTTCAGGTACCCGTCCTGTCTGTTGTTGGGAATGGATGATAGGGAACGGAGGGCCATTGTGCTGAGGAAGGAGAATGCCCAGAGGCTTCAGGACATCTCATGGAACCTGATGGTGCCTCTGAATCTGCCTGAAAGATGACTGTGGCCTGGCTGCCCACCTAGAGCACTTCAGGGAGAGCATCATTTCTTCCCCACCACTCATGCCCAGCACTTGCATATCTAAGGCATGACTCAGTCTTGGAAAGTGCTTCACCATCCAGCAAACAGCCTTGCCCAACAGGTAGTTTGAAGTTCACAATCTCAGACCTGGCCAGGACCGCTCGGGTGGGAATTTGCATTTGAACAGGCTCCCCAATCAATTATACACCAAAGTATGAGAAACATTGTTCCATTTTCCTCCTGAGTGCCCCAAAGTGCCTCAAGCAGTGTCCCGGGACAGAGTCAGGCTTGCAGTGTGAACCACTGATTAATGGTACCTGGGCATGTGGGACACCAAAGGAATAGAAGACACCCTGTTTTCTGTATAATGGATAGGCTGAGGGCCTCTGCAGGTGAGACACTTTGATGTACCACCTGGGCAAGCCCTGCACCTGGCCTAGCTCTTTGCCTCACTTTGGAGAGAAGCCTGTTCCTTGAGGGAAAGAATCCGTGCTTCCTGTCTCTTACCTCATTCAACTTTTCAGGACTGAATGCAGACATCAAGGCACCTCTGACTTCTTCCCACCTTTTGTCTCGTAAAAACAGGATGCTGTCTGCTACAGGCTTGGGTTCCAGACCTGAGGCCTGAAGGAAAGTGACAAGCAGAGGGTTAGCACCGAGGGAGCCAAAGCCATCTTAGTGGCTCTCCTAGTTAGCTTTAACTGTCAATCAAGTCATCTGAGAAGGGAGTCTCAATTAAGGGACTGGACAGATCAGATTGGCTTGTTGGTGTGTCTGTGGGGCTTATCTTGTTTGTTAATTGATGGAGGAGGGCCCAGCCCACTGTGGGTGGCACTATTCCTTGAGCAGATGGTCCTAGGCTGTGTAAAAAGCTAGCTAAGCAGGAGCCTAGGAGTGAGCCAGCAACCGGCATTCTTCCATGGTTTCTGCTTCAGGATCTTGCTTGGGTTCCTGCCATGACTTCCTTCAGTGGTGGACTGTGATCTGTCTGGAAGTACAACCCAAATAGACCCTTTCTCCCTGAAGTTACTTTTGGTCAGAGTGTTTCATCACTGTGACAGAAAGAAACCAGGACACTGGCAATTGAAGGGCACAATAAACACCCCTGTTAAACTCCACCAATAACTCAAATCTAGATTTCCCTTGCAATGACACAGAAAAGCGTTTTAGTATTCATGGACAAGGATCTAAGAACCATGGCTGGCGCCAACAGGGGACAGATGGACAAATCTGCTAGTCTTGTCATAGTGTGGACATTATCAAAATATCACAGTGGTCTCTGTTGACTGCAAACAGAAACCTTTTTGATGAAGGGCGAGATACATTTATCAAGCAGAGGATGAGATCCACATTTACATATATGCCAATCAAGTTTGGGGAGGTAGGCCTGTGAGTGTCTTAGCTTTATTTTATTTATTTATTTATTTATTTATTTATTGGTTTTTCTAGACAAGGTTTCTCTGTATTGCTTTGGATCCTGTCCTGGAGCTCGCTCTGTAGACCAGGCTGACTTCAAACTCATAGAGATCCTCTTGCCTCTGCCTCCCAAGTACTGGGATTAAAGGTGTGTGCCACCAACGCCTGGCTTTATTCTTAATCAGCATAGTTTTGTTAAGTGTCCAATATGGGCATTATGGCTTAAATCGTATTCCTGAATGTTATATTGAAATTCTGAACCCTAGATATTGAAATCCTGATCCCTAGAGCTCCATATTTGGCCATGGGGATTTTAGAAGGTACCTAAAATAAATAAAGCCTTTATGGTAAGCCTTAGTCCAGTGAGCTTGGTATCTGTCTATTCTTATAAGATTAGGACACAGACATACAGACAGAGGACCTCAGGGATGCAGATGACAATTATTTAAGCCAAGAAGACAGGTCACAGATGATATAAAACCTGACCCAACTCCTACTTCCAGCCTGTCCAGAACTGTGACCAGATGCATTTCTGTGTACAAGTCCCTCAGTGTGAGATTCCCAGCTATGGTGTCCTGGAAAACTCATACAATGTTCAAAAACTCGTTATAGAGAGTATTGGACAGGAAAGACTTGGCTTTGGCCCTTGTATTGGTTTGCTTTCTGTTGTTATGACAAAGACCATGGCCAAAAGCAACCTGAGGAGGAATGGGTTTATTTTTACCTTACAGGTCATGATCCATCATGGAGGGAAGTCGGGGAAGGAACTTGGAGGCAAGAATTGAGGCAGAGACCACGGAGGAGCATTGCTTACTGACTTGCTCCTAACAGTTTACTCAGTTTGCTTTCTTATCCAATCCTGGGTGACCTGCCTAGGAGTGGCACCGCCCACAGTGGGCTGGGCCCTCCCACATCAATCATTCATAATAGTTTTTTTTTTTTTTTTAATGCCCCACAGACTTGCCTATAGACAGATCTCTTAGGGGCATTTTCTCAGTTGAGGTTTCCTCCTCCTAGATGCCTCTAGCTGGTATCAAATTGACAAAAAAAAAACTATCTAGCACAGCCCTCATGAGCCTGACAGTCAAGTGGAGCAGCCTCGGGTAACGAGTATCATTGCAGTTTATGAGAAAGTGAGTCTCTCAAGGGGAAGGCTGAGTGTGGGGGCATGTAATGGGGTTACATGGTCAGGATGCCTCTGAGGACAAGCTATTTAGAAACTGAGCCAAGGAACATACAAAGCCACCTTCTCCTTCCCCTCCTCCCCAAGTCCATCCTCTTCCATCCTAAAAGCAGCTGTGCCAGCTGTGGTCACAGATGGTGACCTCACTGTTTGTCAGCATGGCCCCCAGAGCTGTGGATGCAAGGGGATTCCAGGACCAGGCACTCTGCAGGGCCATGTGTGCCATGGGGCTCCACTATTTCCTTTCACTGTTTTAATTATAGCCGAAGCACGAAGCCAGCCGTCATAACTCAAATGCCTTGTAAAAACTCCTATTTGGAGGAAAATTATAATTTTCTGATAAAATATGAACACTCAAAATAAGCCATAAAACATAACTGCAAAGTATCTAGAGGATTTAATTATATATTAGAACCAAGTTGCTGGGATATTTTCCTGCAGAGGAACACCTCTCTATATTTAGAATGAGATTCTTTAGGAGTGCCGTGGCCACTAAATTATGGTTTTATGGAATTTTTGGAACATAATCTGTTTATTTAGGTTCCAGAGTCAAAGGAGGAAATCATACATTATAGATATTTATAGAGTGGCAAAGCCCCAGCCTGCGCCACACTGCTAAGACTTTTCACTTGGAAAAAAAGTGAGACACAGGTTTATAAAGTCCTGCTAAAACAGACTCAATTGTAGAGTCAGGGTCAAGATTGACTGGATTTGATCCACCCTTACCACTTGAGAAATGGGAGCCTGGGGAGCTAGTGGAATGCTCACTGTACACTGAGGCCCTGAGTTCAACCCTCAGAACCCAGGTAAAAAAAAGTTGCATGTGGTCATCTTAGCACTGGGGGTGTGGAGATGGGCAGATCTCTGGGGCCTGCTGGCCATCCAGCCCAGCCTACTGGGCAAGCAAGCTCTGGGACAATAAGAGATCCTGCCTCAAAACAAACGAACAAACTAACAAATAAAACAAAAATTCAAGGTGGATGTCACCTGAGAAACGACCTCTGACCTCTACACTCACACACCTGTGCACCTGTATACAGACAGAACAGACCAAAGCATTGGGTTCCTGCTATCTTCTACCTTACGTTTAAAGAGAAGAACCTCACTCTGCATGCACTGTTATTAGACTCTCAAACCCCACCCTTAGCCTGCTGTATACCTTCAGACTAGAAGTTCTCCTGGAGTCCTCCAGGGCTTTGTTTTCTGGGTTATTTGTTTTCAGTCGTCAAAGCCAGGGGTAACACTCACATGAGTATTTCATGTCTAAACATGTATTAGAACAAAAAGAGCAGCAAAGTCGGCATTTCAAAGATGGCAAGAAGGTATTAATGTCGAGGGTATTGACTACTTTTCTCGTGGCTGTGACCAAATACCGGACCAGAAGCAACTTGAGAGGAGGGGTTTATTTAGACTTACGGTTTGAGGGGATATAGTTTTTCATGGTGGAGGAGGCCTGCAGCAAGCGGCTTTGTGGGGGTGGGGGGTGGCAGCTGCTTGTTGTATCTCAGTAGATCAGATAGCAGAGGGGGGACGGAAAGTAGGCCATGTCCCCTAGTGATGCACTTTTTCTAGTGGTGCACTTTGTTCTAAAGGCTCCCCCACCTCCCCAAATAGCTCGGCTGACTGAGACTAAGATACATGAGCCCGAGGAAGAGATTGTACATCGAAACCTTCAGCCTCTGGACACCATAGGCTATGGACACCTCCTAATGCAATATTAACTCAGTCTTGCTTCAAAGGTTCTGCCAGCCTCACAGTTCTAACTGTTCAAAAGTCCAGAGTTTCCTCTAAGACTCAAGGAGCTGCACGCTTCCAACACACAGAGTAAGCATGCCCATCCCCCAAATGGAGGAACTAGAGCACAGCAGAAAAAGACTGGCTCTAAGCAAAACCCAGACCTAGCAAGACAATCACTAAGCACCACAGCTCTGTGTCTCATATCAGGGACCGTTGATGGCATCACCAGTGCTCCAAAGGGTTTGAATAGTCCTGCCTCTTAGCCCTGTTGTCTGCAATACACGTGGTCTCTCCCTAGGGCCAGTTCCTCAGTGAACTCCAGCAAACATCGTGGGGTCTCCACAGCAACTTAGGCTCTACCTTCATAACTCCGATTAGGGTCTTCTCAAGAGCTCAGGTGGGGAATCTAACCCGCTACACATTCTCCAGCCTCTGCTACTTTCTGAAGCCTTGGTGTAAGCTTCTGTGATCCTGTAACTCTTGGTTTCTACAAACCTACAAAACAAATACATTGCTGACATGGCATCCAGTTCTTCTACTTGGGCTACAGGTGCACCAGGCTCTGTGTGCCTTCATGACTACACCTGGGAAAACCCTTCCCTAGGGGACCATGCCCAAACAGAATGCCCCACAAGCTCTCTTGGTTTGAGCACTCTCTTTTCAAATGGAAGACTTCCAAATAAGTTTGCATTGCGACACCCTGAAACAGTCAGTGGGTAAGGTCTTGCTCTCATGAACCTCTCCTGATGTCCCAGTGAATATAGTACACAGTTTCTCCTCGATTCTGCTAATCTTTGTAATTCAAGCTGTTTCATCCATACCCTCCTTGCCTACCCTGTCTGCAACTTTGACCAGATTTGTGTTTCTATCTCTACCAAGCTACATGTTTTTACATCCATCTGCTTCCTCACTATAAACTTGCCTAGAAGTAGTGACCAATAACCATGCCACAGCATGGACACTATGCTTGTTGCAAACTCCTCCACCAAACAGCTTAATGCATTACTTTTAAGTTCAGTTTTATGTTTTAAGGACATAGGTTTAGTGCAACCATACTCTTTGTTAGAACATAATATCTTGTTACGCTCCCCCCCCCAAACTTGACTGCAACTGTCTACATTTCTGTTGGCATGTTGATCTTCCTTTTTTTTTTTTTTTCCAACATTCTAGGGCTTTCCTAGTCTGTCACTCCAAACTCTTCTAAATACTTTTCACAAGCCTGTTCTAACCACAAGGTCACGTAGTCACAGGCACAACTCACTTCTCAGTACCAGTTTTCTGTATTAGA